ACCCTTGCTCCTTCATATTCTCCCTGGAGACCCATGGCTCCTTCCATGTATGACTCCCCCCTGCCATCCCCTCCTGATTCTCCCTACTACCCCTCCACTCTGTCAGCTTTCCTTTCACCCCTCACTGTTCCCCCCTACACCTTGAGACAGGTTTGGTGGGAATAAAAGATGATTTGGTTTCTCCTATCCTGGTTGGGTTTGTTGTTTTGTTTTTCTTGTCTACATCCAACCTGTGAATATTGCTATCAATCACCCTCCACGGCACACTCCTGCTTCAAACATTTCAGTGATATTTATTTGATCTCTGAATGAGGAAGAATTCTGTAAGCATAAAAGTAATGGAGGAAATCACTGAGGGAAAGAAAATCAATACATTGGACTACACCAAATTAAAAACTTCTGGATGTCAGAAGCCATTCCAAACCCAACTAAAAAGCAAATGACAAGACTGGGGAAAGTCTATGCAATAAATATGATGAAAAGTTGTTATCCCTCAAATATAAAGAGCTCATACAAATCGATAAGAAAAATATACTAAAATCCCCGTGGGAAAAAAATGGGCAAAGGGCAGGACAATGTACAAATAGCTTAATAAACACATGAAAAATCTTTAGCTGTAGCAGTCCTCGGGGACATGCAAATTCAAAAGTGCTTCCCATCGCTCACCTACCAAATCAGGACACTAAAGCTGGAAGGCTAGAGATGCGGCTGGGGTCGATTCTTTGTCTGACTTGTTGTGCGGCCCTGGGTTTGATCTGCAGCACCTGGTGGGGTGAGGGGCAGGGCTGAAGGAATGCAGTGTGCATAAGCTACGTTTCTATTGCAGTGACAAAGTACCATGGCCAAGGCAACTTAGAAAAAAAAGCATTTAATTTGGGGCCCACTGTTCTTAAGGGCCTGAGTGGCACTGGCAGGCATGGCCCCAGGACAGTAGTTGACAGTTTACATCTGATCTACAAGAAGGTAGAAAGAAAAAAGTTACTGGGAATGGTGTGGGCTTTTGAAACCTCCAAGCCCACCCAAAGTAACACACCTCCTCTAACTAGGCCACACCTCTAAATCCTTCCCAAACAGCTCCACCAACTGAGACCAAGTATTCAAATATATGAGTCTATGGGAGTCATTCTTATCCAAACCACACCATGAAACAATAAGAAATTGTTTCTTGTTTGTCTTTTTTTTTTTTTGGAGGGGGTTGGTTTTTAAGACAATTTTACTGTGTAGCACAGGCTGGCCTCAAACTCCTGAGCCCCCAGGCTCAGCTCCCTGAGTGCAGAAATGTTGGGTTAACAGGCAAACACTGCAAGGAAGTAGCTTTGTGACTTTTAGTATCTCAACACCATCTAGACCAATGTTTCTGAACATTCCTTGTGCTGCTACCCTTTACTGTAGTTCCTCATTTTGTAGTGACTCCAACCATAAAAATATTTTCATTGCTACTTCATAACTGTAATTTTGCTACTGTTATGAATCTTAATGTAAATATCTGTGTTTTTTGATGGACCCCTGTTAAAGGGTCCTTCAATTCCAAGGGTTGTGACCCACAGGTTGAGAGCCACTGCTCTAAAAGAAAGCACAAAGAACACGCAGGGTCCAGAAGACTCTCCAGATTCTAGTTCTTGCCTCCCTGTCTCAGCTTACCCCACAAGCCACACCTCCTATGTACTGTGTGCAGTAAGGATCATAGTATGGAATGCTGGGCCTTTCTGGGTTGCCTTCCTGGACACTCTGCCTCTTCCTCTGCACCCTTCATGAGCACCCATCTTCTGACACCCACTCCTTCTGAGAAGTCACAACCTTCAGGAAACTCTGAGCTAGGCTTGGCCTGCCTTGCCTGTACTCTCATGACACACACCTTCCTTCACTAGGCAAGGCTGAGACAGCTCTTAGCAGCTTTCCATCCACCTTGGATTCTATGTGTCTCAGGAGAGGCATTAGATTTTTATCCATTCCTGGATCCCAGAGCCCAATTCAGGAGAATAATCAACAGATGACTCTGAACTAATCAATCATGTCATAAATTAGCGATTCCATTTTGCACCATAAATTTTTGCTACTAGGCTGGTAAATGTGAGTTTTACTTAAAATGCATAAAATTAAATGCTTTTGGATAGAGAAGAAGTCCCTCACTTATGCCCCAGCCCTTATTTCAAGCCCATGTTCTATCATCCTGTGGGTCGTAACCTACTATGGGCCATGAAATTCATTCCTGGGTCACAGCTGCCATTGTCTTAATGAAAAGTATCAGAAGCAGAAGAGGGCGAAATGATTCTCATCTCATTCTTCTCTTCCGGTTCTAGTATTCTGTTATTCTCCTCTCCCCACCTGCTGCACCCAGGTGGGGAGCACTACTGGCAAGTAATAATAGTAAGTAATAATGAAATAAAAACCCCAGGGGATGAAACTCCTGCTCTGATTTTTCTTTCATGAAAAACTACAGAGTTCTCCAGACAGGCCTTGGTCTCATTCCCTGAAAATTGGGAGTAATAAGAATCCAATTTAGAACCAAAAGAAATTTGGGCAGTGGTGGTGCATGCCTTTAATCCCAGCACTAGGGAGATAGAGGCAGGTGGATCTCTGTGAGTTCAAGGCCAGCCTGGTCTACAAATTGAGTTCCAGAAGAGGCTCCAAAGCTACATAGAGAAACCCTGTCTTGAAACAAACAAACAAAATCCAAGTTAGGGCTGGGGAGGTAGTTAAGTCAGTGGAGGTAAGTACAAGAACCTGAATTCAATCTCTAGCACCCAAATTTAAAAGACGTTTTAGTGGCATGCACTCTTAATGCCAGCACTTGGAAGACAGAGCCAGGCAGAAGTCCCTGGAGCTCCTTGACTGGCCAACATAGCCTAATCATCACAGTCCTGGCTGAGAAAAGAAGAACCAAGGTGAACAAACAGTTCCTGGGAAAAGATGCTGCTGGAGGGTGACCCTGGCAGGTGCTCGTTCACACACACACACACACACACACACACACACACACACACACACGTACACACACATGCACATGTTGAACATTCACATGCAAATAAGCTGGACTGTGCGTGTGGTTCAGTGGTAGAACACTTGCCTAGCACCCATAAAACCTTGGGTACCATTGCCAGCACCTCAAATAATAGAGCTGATCAGAGCCATGTCCCAATGAGCTGGAGCAGAAAGGAGCTGGCTTTGCTTCGAGTGTTCAGCACTGTTATCCGCATTTCAGCACAGAGATCCCAAGCACCAGAAGCAGACAGCATAGCATGCATCCCAACCTCCTCAGCTCCGCTGTCTAGCCCATCTGCTTCCTTCTGAACAAGCTGCCAGGCTACCATTAGGCTGTGATGTAGTCCTGAGCCTCCCAGACTTGAGAGAATGTGCATAGCAAGTGTAGGAGCCCTGGAGCCCAGGGCCGTGCATTCTGTCTTTCTAAACTGCAAATGTGACCATATCACCCTCGTGTTTCACATCCTTCTGTGGCGTCCCTTATACTCAAGATAAGGCACTGGCTCCCTGATTCCCTTTAAAATATCCTTTCTGTCACCCTTCCATCCTGCTTAGTCTCCCAGGTCTGCATATTCCAAGGGCCAAGAGGAGTGAAGTCACCTTCTACCCCAAAGGTGGTGCTTCCACCTCAACTGTCAGCTCCTAGCACCAACTGTGTGCAGAGGCTTCTCGTTCACACAACACTAGAAGAAAATCTGCCCAGTGCAGAAACACCTGTGTGTGTGTGTGTGTGTGCATGCACGTGCGCATGTGCACATACACGCACCCACACCCACACACCCACACTCTTCTACCACCACCCCCACCAAGCCCAGACACTCCTCAGGTCCTGAGCAACCTGTCCTCCTGGCAGAGGGCATACCATGATGAATGACTGGTGTCCCAGTCTCAGGAAAGGTAAGCAATGGTGGATGTCACTTTAAAGAACTAAGAGCACTCCACCCCATCCTCCACCCATGTGGTGACTGAGATCCCCATTTAGACTTGCTTCTCTCTAGCTTGTCTCTAGGTCCCTTGTTCAAGTGTAGAGCACATTTTACTACAGTGGCGATCATTGCAGCCTCAGCACATCCAATAGTGCAACTAGGTCTTAAAGGGGAGGGAACAAGACTGTGGAGAACTATTTGTGAGGGCCTCAAGAAAAGGTGGAGTGGGTTATTTTGACATTTTCCCATTACAGCTCCCAACAGGGTAGGAGTTAACTACATAATACACTTTTAGGGTTGATGGGAGGAGATAGCCGACAAGCTTCTCCTGGAATTCACTCTGCAGTCCAAAAGGGGTAGTTCTGGTTGCCCCTCCTTGGTACACACTGTGCAGGTCAGAGCTACAAGATCCTGGACTAAAGACTGAGGTCGTGGTTCCCAAGTATCAAGCTAAAGTGTTTGCTGACTTGAGTTAGGGCAGAGAAAATAAAACGGGGACAGAGGCCTCTCCAGCAATGCTTAACGATAGGACCAGAGCAGGACCTGGGCAGCAGCAAGCCAGTCCCAGCTTCTAAGAACTGGTTCTGCAAACGGGGAAAGAAGGTTCTTCAGGCTCCTCTATGTGCATGGGATGGGAGTCCTGCAATCGGGACTATGCAACCTTGAGCTGGGTTCCAGTGAGTTCTCAGGTCAGAAAAATACCTGTAGGTGGTGGCCTTGGATGCTGGTGATTCCAGCATTCTGGACTCTGAGGCAGGAGAATCACAAATTCAAGACTGTAATTTCAAAAAACAAACAAACAATAAGAAAGAGCCTCTCGTTTTTCCAGTATTTGCAAAACAGATTCCAGAAATAAAGGGGCACAAAGATGTCACTGCTGCAAGAAAAAGCACTTCTATTGCAGTATCAACACTTGTGCCTCTTAAGTGTACACCCACCACACACACACACACGCATGCACACACACACACACACACACACACACACACACACAGCACCTTCAAGATTTCCCAGCTCTCTCCTCCCCTCAGTTCTCATACATTCTGCCATATACCCCACATATAAACTTGACTCAATAACCACACACTTGAGGAAAACAGAACAAGTTTACTATTCACCTAGTGGTTGTAAAGGAAAATTGCAGGCACAGTGATAAAAAGGAAACAACTTCATATTCCTCAGCTTCTAACACAAATGGGAAACGGGAAGACACAGGGTGTGGGGGGCGGGTGGTGAGGGGCTCAGATGCTTCAGGGACCAGGTTCTGTACACAAACCAGCCAGGGGAGTTCAAGGATCACCCAAAGAGGCGATCCCGGCTTAGTTCTGATTGTTTTCTAAAACGCAGACCCGAGTTGCCACACCTTGATTTTCAGAAGCCAGGAGTTCTAATTTAATGTGAAGCCTCTTGATTCTTAGAGGGCCACTCAATTCTCTTGGAAACATGGAATGTACTACACCTAGCAGTTCTAGCGCAGCTTTCCGCATTCTGCTGGCGAGGGCCGAGGCATCTCCCCTAACTGTGGTATTACACTGCCACTCGCCAGCCACCGTTGGCCATTGCAGCCGAGGCATCCAGGATGAGGCTCTCAGCTTTACTCTGCACCCGGGGCTGGATGCCAGAGCCCCAGAGAACAATCTACAGGAAGTGGAAGGCCCGGCAGAGCCACGCAGGGGCAGGGACCAGAGTCTTGCAGATTAAATGGCCGACTGTTCCTGCAAGAAACCCTCAGGGTTGGGAAGGCCTTTATCTGGCTCAGAAGCCAGGGCCGCCTCTCGGAGGACTTCCAGGTGCTCCTCAGCAGCAGACAGAGACTGGTCGATCCAATCCAGGCCCCCGGTTAGATGGCAGGCATTCCTGGTCACTAGCACCAAGTGACTGACCGATAGAAGCAGGGCAGTTGTCCTAGGTTAAAAAGAAAAGAAATTATATGGGTAGTGGAAAAAAACAAAATCTCCTGAGTAAACTGGGATCATGGGGACCTTGGGAGAGGGTTGAAGGGAAGGGGAGAGGCAGGGAGGGGAGCAGAGAAAAGTGTAGAGCTTATTAAAAATCAATAAAAAAGAAAAGGATCAGGCTCTGTAGAAAGTGGGGAACTTTGCACAAAAGCCCACATGGGTGCACACTCTATACTAGCGTTCCCCAAACCGGAGACCCCCATCCTGGAAGGTGAGCGGTTATGTAACATAATGGGTCCACACTGAAACACATAGGGGATGGCTGCCTTAAACAAGGTTAACTGTCTTGGAGCCTTTGATGAGTTTGACAAAACTCCAAGGGGAAACTGGAGAGCTGTGTCTGGTAAACATATTTAAGACGGTGGAAGAGGCTTTCAGCAACACACCCATTAACAGCTCCCAAAAGGATGTTTTCTGAAAGAGTTTGGATGTGGTCAATTGGATGAGCGGATCTCCAACTGCTGCCCACTTAAAGATGGGCTATAAATATCCCTCTTCAGTGAACATCCCCTATTGATCACAAATCAATATGCCCAGGGCTGGCTTACTCAATGCTAAGGAAAATATAATTGAAACTCAAATCGAAGAGGAGGGTTTTGTTTGTTGTTCTTATTTCTGAGAGTTTTTTTTTTTAAACTGAAAAATTTACTAGGAAATAATTTTTAGATGGTAAGAATGCCAGATGTGTTCAGGGCTCCATTATCGATTACGAACCCATGGAGAAAGCTGAGCAGCAATAGGAATGGGGCAAGGAAACCAAAGCAGACATGTCATGACTTACTGGCAACCACCACACAACATGTCCGTGGGAGTCTCACAAACCAAACGGAGACGACACGTAGGTATTTAAAGGGTTTACATTCGGTAGGGCTGAGTACACTCTGCAGTGGAGGAGGGTCCAGAGAACAGGATCCTGGGATCCTGATGGGGAGTGAGTTCCACCTGTGGCTGACCTATTACGCGTTCTTGTTGCTGGGCTCACCACAGCCCTACCAGGCAGTGCTTGCAGCAAGGTGTGGCTGTTTTCGAGTCCAAAGATCAGAGGGAGGAATGGGGAGTGAAGGGCAGGGAGGCCCGGGTAGCAGAGCCAGTTATGTATGCAGATCCAAGACTGACTCTTAACTCGCTCCCTCCTCTCAGGGATTCAAGGAAGATGTCCTTCACTCTTTCAACTGCCAGGCTCAAGCCACTGTTTGGTTCAGTGTTGACCTGGAAGGGGATGAATCCAGAGCCGGGGTGGCCTTGGAAATCTGAACTAACATCCTCTTTAAACAGCAGGCGATCAACCTGGCAGGCTCGATATCAGTGACCCTGAAGGGCAATACTATGAGTGGACCCTCCTCCCTCTCACCGTGCGTCCAGGAGCTTGGGGTCCAGTGGTGGGTACATTGACTTCACGACATCGTCCACTCTGAGGGGTGGCAATAGGGACAACTGTCAATATTTCACCTCCTTGTCCCCCATTCTCCCTCTTTAACTTCCCATTCTCATGCTAGACTTCTCTGTTGGTGTTATTACACACCCACTCTTCGGGGGTCGTTTCTCTCCCTCCTTCCTTCCTTCCTCATGCCAGACTTCTCTGTTGGTATTACACACCGACCCTTCAGGGCTCCTTTCTCTAACTACTCTGCATGCCCACACAGAGTCTAGCAAAAAGATTTCAGGTTCTACTTGGAAAATATTCTGTTCTCTGCTTTTGCCTTCATTCCAATGGTTAAATGTGTGAAGTCACACATATGGAATGATGCTCAGGATTACGACTAAACTGAAGAGGTAACAGGCAGGCAGGAGCATGCTGTATCCTTCTGCAAACACAAATATAAACAATAAACCAAAGCTATGAAATGCAAGAGGGAAGGTCTAGAGGAGTGCTCACCATTTGATGGTGGCTGTATCCCTGAATTGGGCAGGGACGAATCAGGGCACATCCCACTTTTCAGATAACCTATTCCTGACGTAGATTAACTTTTATAAGCATTTTTTTTACTTTTGTATATTTTAAAAGATGATAATACAGTGATGTGAAACAATTTTTTTAAAAAAAGTCACAGCCTAATTTGGGCTCAAACTGCTCTGCTGCGTGTCATTTCCCTAAAGCACAGCCCATGACTAATATTTAAGTTAAGTTTCCACCTGTCCTGATTTGTGGGATGCGAGATTTTGCTCCCATGGATCACTTGGTAAAAAGAAAAGAGCGAAAGCTGCGTTGTTAGATTTCTAAAAGCGCTAAGAAAAACGCAACCCTCATTCTCCCTCAGGCCTGTGGAGCTGGCAAGCAAGCAGGTGAGAGGTATCGTGGGCCTCAGCATCTACCCCAGCTAGCTCCTTCCCCTCTGCAGAGCCCAAGGCAGAAGCCGCTCTCCCTGAACTAATAAATCATCAGCATGGCAGACGGAGAAAACAAAACCGGGAGGACATGGGAGCTAACATCAGCCAGAGGGAGAACTAGTGAGGGCAAATAAAGAAAACAAGAGAATTCGGGCAAGATACATGAAGGAGGTTGTGCCAGGTACTCGGCAGAGAGCTCTACCCTCCTGGCAAGGCCACACTCTCACCGTGGCACACTGTTAGCCCTGTCCCCTCTGAGAAATCCCAGCACCCTAACACCCTGTTGACAAGCTGCCCCTCCGAGCCTCTCTGGCCAGGCCCTGTGAATGGGTCTTAGAAGTGAGAAGAAGCACGAGGAAGGGTCCAGCAGATGCGAGCATTGCACAGTCTAAAACTGTCTGGGACAAGCTGGAGCCTGGGCGGGGGTGTCTCGTGCAAGGCCTGGTGCAAACCAGGTAGTAACACCCATACCCATTGGACATCTCCAGAGCCAGGAGCTATTGTGGCCTGCATCCTTCCTCTCCCTTTCTCCACCTCACTGAACTACCTAGACAGAGTTCAAATACACCGTCTTGTTTGTCTCAGAGGATCTTACAGGCTGCTGCTTCTGAGCTTTACAAGCTTATTCGAGACCAAAAAAAAAAAAAAAAAAAAAAAAAAAAAAAAAAAAAAAAAAAAAAAAAA